ACCACCACCACCACCACCACCACCACCACCACCACCACCGACCCTATTAAACAAAAGCGAGCGTTGTACCAACTTAACTCCTCTTTCCTACACATTAGCCTTACAAGCATTAACAAAACCCACCATCTCACAACTGTGGCAGATGGAAAATTTTCGTTTTTATTCGCCTTTTCTTTACAAAATTGAAAGAGCTTGTGTAATCTTCTACTTGGCATTCGCTGGTGTTAACTGGTCGGTTGTTGAATCATGTTACCTAGTAAATTTTAAAACAGGGATAAATGACTACCAAATAAATCAAGCTCCAAATAATTTAAGGTTTACACAAAAATATTCTATCTGAAATTAACCGATTTCTGGGCATTTCTTCGCACAAAAGTTATTTTTTTACCAAAAAATTCTCAAAATCTTTCTTCTGGTGTGGTAGTTTTTATGGGTGTTTGAGCAGAGCATGGTAATCTTTGTATTTACTTGTCTTGATGAAATAACCGATTTTTTTCTCAGAATTTTAACTTTGTGAGTCTGATTAGAAATCGATTTGGCCGGGTTTAAGATGTAACAGTGATCAGTATTGGACGCTAAACGTATCTAGCGGCAGCGCTGCAAAAAACAGTTGCGGTGCGATGTTGCGACGATTAAGCGCCGCATCGTGTACTATCGTAAAATATTTTAATCTTGAAACCCCATTTGGCAGTGTGCATCGCCAAAATTAACCATGCGGTCAGAATTGGGTTTTGTTTAATCAAAAAAAAGTGGATTAACCAATCAGAAATTTTGCGTTCACTCCTCGAATCAATTGAAGTGAGTTAAAACCTATGACAAGTTGGCACAGTGTCTAATTAAGCAACTCAAACTAGATTATACAGTTGCAACTTTCATAATTTTTAAAGAGATTTTTAAAAAGAGATGCATTTTAATGTTAACGTTCTTATTTACCAAAAGGGAGGATTACTTTAAATGCGCATTTGATTTTGAGTAGTATCTATAATTGCAAATAAAGAAGAATCAATGCTTTAAAGAAGACCAGAAACGTTATTGTTGTTAATGCCACAATTTTCGATTTAAAACCACACAAGGGGAATCTATGTTCGTGAGAGAGTTTGACTCAGCAATTCGAAAACCAGTTGACGTGACATTCACACCTAGAGCTTGTTGGAATCTGTGAGTTGTGGTACTCATAGTGGTAGCCAATCAGCATCAAGAAAGATGTCTGCACAGTGATTGGCAACTGAGTAACACACCGCTTTGGTGCGTTAACAACTCTTCAACTCATGAACAGGCCTACACACGAAACCTTGAAAACAAAATCAACTCCACGAACCGAAAAGCAATTCGCTCATGCTTATCTAACGCCGGAGTCTCGACTTTTCTTCAGAGCAAAAGCGATTTGATAATCTACGATCTGGTATGCGTGGGGGTTGGCCTAATTGCACAGCGGAACTGTCACAAGGCCGAACTTGAGACACGATTTCGTGTGCCTACGACAGTCTAGGGGGCCGGTTGGGCGTTTTTTAGCCTTAAAGGGAAGCTGCATCTTGTCAAATGTTGATTTCGCCCGTCTACTTGTCCTTTCGAATGGGTAGACTATGCCGACAGACCGCCCACGTGGCAGTTGGGCGCCTAAATTGTCCAAGCTTGTTCGCAAGAGACTGGTAATTTATTGAGGGCTTTAATTCAGCCAAAGCGGCACGGCCGATTTTGGTGCAATTGATTAAAATTTTAATGGAACTTTCAAACATTCTGGACTGCAGCACAGCGTGAGCCAAAATCGATTACCATTAGAAGTTTTACTGTGACACATTATTTAATTGTTTGATTCTCTAACTTTTCAAGTGCCTTTGGTAACAGCCTAACAAGGATGATTATTTTAAAATGACACGATCAGGAGTTGCGTTCTCGCCACTTGATGTGTTAAACTCCCAACGTTAAATAAAAAATCAATACATGAGACTTGAACGAGAGTGAGGCAATTGGTTCTTAGCCAACCAATTACGTTTGAGCACATCTCAGTAGTAGCACTAATTACTAGGTCTGACTCAAGGGCGCTGATGTGTTTTTATAACAATAAAATAGTATCGATGGGACATCAAGAAATTGACTTGAAGTGAGAATGAATGTGCTATAATTAATAGAGGATAATTTGAGGGGCTGGAAAAGTTTTTTAGACAACGCAACCATCTTATCCTTGGTTACATAGTCTACATTTGCTCCCGTTTATATAGCTAGAGAGTAAGTAGAATTTGCAGTCAGTGTGAGCAAAATGGTACTCTCGCGTCACTTCAAAAGTATCACTTCAAGATCAGTTTGTGTGTCAGAATGCTTTTCACTCAAAGTAAGCAAATTTATTACAAAATTGACGTTTCACTGAAGCCAAAATCAGGATAAATGCTTAAATAAATTTCCAACCCGACGGCCGCCTCTTTCTTCAGGAGCCGCCTTAATAGTGGTGTTGGCGGGCTTTGGCTGGCCCAAACCCATTCGAAAATATGGCGTCGAAGATGCTGACGACGACGGTTTCGTGCACTCTTGCTGGCCTAGGTCATCCTCAGCACACGGAGTGAAATTGCACTCGAACGACTTCGTCGCGAAGAGACCAGCCGCACATTCAAGCAATTTCTCAAGACCCACTTTACGCAAGTCCTGCTCTTGAGGTAACAGCGGACAATGCAGGAATTTAGAAAGCACCGGAATCAGTAAGTTAAATAAATGCGATGGTTTGGCAGTTAACGCGACAACGAACTGCAGCGTGGTTGAATCCGCGCCGTGTGTGGCGTCTGGCGAGACTAGCTCGAAGTTCTTGAACTGTAACTCGCCAACAAAGTCATGTTGAGACTCGTGGCCAGTGAAGGGACCCGTCGGGAGCCCACTGCAGTGAGCAAAATCAATACAATCCTGACCCATGCCCTGATAATCCTGATTGCAGTAAGGGATGCAACCCCCACCTAGCTTGTTGTCACGTGGCATCACCACGGGTGTGGAGCGTGGGCTCACGGTGAGGGTGTTGTCGTCTAACGCTCTGTCACGTCCACATCCGCTAAATTCACACGGCATTCCAGCGTCCATGTTCTTGAAGTAGGGCTCAATAACTTGGAGAACGAGGGCATCACTGAGGCACGCAACTACGAACGTTTTGACGCACTTGAAGCTCCGACAGTTGCACTCCACCTCGCGGCTAATGGCATGCGCCTTCTTCTGCCGAATGACCTGCTTCTCGGAGAGTGGATACGGTGGTGATTCCTGGGTGTGGAAGGATGGACATCGTTGGCCAGTGCACTCGAACCACTTCCGAGGTCTACACCTGGAAGCTGTGGCATAGTGATCGTCGAGACCGGAGCATCTTGCAACCGGGCAGTAGCACACTGCCCGCGGTGTCAAATCATCTTTCTTGCGATTTCGCCGTTGAAGTGAATTATAATAATTAGCGTGGTATTTCGAGGGGTCACCACTGACGCTCCACATTTGTTTTCTGCCTTGTCACGTGGTTTTTTAAAGTGCTGCAACGATCGATGGAGTCGCAGTGGCGTCGGAGTTTCAGGTGATAGTCGAGACAAGAGCAGACATCATTTTTGGCCGACTTTAAACGGGTTTTGGATCACAACAGAACCACCAATATTTTATTGACCCAATCACGCTATGCAGATGGTTAGATGGTTAAACAAACATCTAGAAAATATTTGCTTGCTAAAATCTATCAAACAATTGAATTCGGAGAAACCAGCAAATGCTTAAGTGACCAAGGGTGTCCAACAGGGATGGCAGAATGCCTAAAAATTTGGGTCCAGATTCAAAAAACGTAGATTTTCAAGGTTCCCTCTACGGAGAACTAACAGAGGGCTGAGATGTTCGTAAAAATTGACATTTGCCGATGGTTTGTTGGTCGTCTGGGATCATTTGGAGAAATAATTGCGATGCTTATAAGGTCATGTTCAATGACCTCAAAATTAGCCCATACGTAAAGGTCAAAAATATCAAATGCATAAGTGACAAAGCGCTGAACGAGTTATTTGACTATACGAGTTATCGATTTTTTTGATTATGCAGAGTTGATCGAGTATTTTACGGAAATCTTATCTATGATTTCTCAAGGTCAACTCATAAAGGTGCTTTTTTAAACAAATCTATAGCAAGTGATGGGCAAAATTGATACGTCCAGTGAAATTGGTGCTTTGTGTGTGCTGAGATGTCAGATTAATCAACTCCACAAACTTTCTCTACGTGACCAATCAATACGTGCGAATAAGTACTGTGCTCTATCACCACGACAACGCTTGACCACAAATTGATTTGAGAGACAAAAAGTGTTTCTTTTGAAACGATCAAGAACTGCCTCATCACTTTTCTTACTAGAGAAATCAAGGGGCTCTTTAAGAGACAGTGACAGGTAATGCTGAAAAGTGCAATTTTGTGCGTAGCTGATTGGTCGTAACTATTAGTTAGACTGATTTTTGAAGGTTACGTAATAATGCGATGTTTGTTGCAAATCCTAATGCGACTCTATAGTCAAATCAGCATGGAGGTGCATAGGCGGCCGTGTAAGTCATTTTTCTATTATTTTTAATATATTTTAACACAATCTGGCGGACACACCGTGTTCAAAATAACTGCCCACCTTTTAATTGGATGTCAAAGTTACTTATTGTCTATGTACTGAGTCGAGATGCAATTATAAACGTACATTAGTTATTGAAGCAAGAAATACGATGGATGATCTTGCGGTTGAGTAATAATCCCGGTTAATTGGGAGCGCTCAAAGTTTATTGGCTATTCCGCAAGGTATTTTGACTTTTGTAGAACACATATTCAATTTTTCGGACATGATCCGTAAAGTGCTTTTTCTCAAGTTTTATTTACACTAGAAATCGAGTTTTTACGTCTTTGGTTACGAAGTGTCAAAATTAGTTTGATGTGAAATCCAAACCTGAGTGTTAAAAGCGTACAATTTGCTGAAACGACAGGCAAAAAGCCGATTGAAATATGTACATGGCTTCTTCAGATGTAATCAGGCTTTGGTTATGTGATTTCGAAGAGAAATCGCGGCAATCGCAGCAGGTTCGAATGCATTATTGGAAATCTACTTATAAGAAATTAGTAATAGATTTAATAAATACAAATGCAATGGTTAAGACTGATGAGTTCACTGTGAAGGATTGATAAAGAGTTGTGGTGAAATAATAACACCAAGAGTGGCACAGAAATGGCTTGTGAGTGAATTGATAAATGAAATTTAGGGGTTAGTAGGGTATAATTTCAGCAAATTTTTGCATGCCAGATTTCAATTTCAATAATAAAATCGAACTATCACAACCGACACCGCAACATCGGGTTATGAACTCCGCAGAAGACAATTTGAGATGCAAACTGCCATGCACGACCAATCAAATTCGTCTGTACAGCAATTACTAATCACTGATTCGTTAATTGCGTGGAATTTCGAAACATACGACGTGACATTAATGGAAATGCAAATGAGATGGCTCAAAATAGCACAAAACATTGTGTGTCACCTTTCCCCAGAGATCCTTTCCACAAAAAACACCATCTTTCACGAATATGAAGCAAAAATAATGAATAATCGAGAATCAAGCAACGAGTTAACTCAGAGCAGACTATGCACTTAGGAGAGAGTTGAGTGTTCAAGATCCATTTGCATAAACGCAGATTGTCCTCGGAATGTCATGATTTGATCGTTTAAGTGATCGGTCACATGTAACCAACTAAAACCTCGATTTAGGGTGCATGTCATGTGGTTCTCGCATTCACACCTATTTTATGGGCATCTTGTCACTGTGCAGAATCAAACAATTAGTTCCTTTGATGCCAAAATTGACGTTCTGATCTCGATGCAGTCATAGAGGCCGATCAGGAGATTTCTACCTCATTTACCTTGTCGTCTTGTGTGGGAATTCGGAGATCTTATTTTGTTCTTCTTGATTAGAATTGACTATTTGCGCCCCCATTTGGCCAAATTCAGCCAAACTGTTGTTGTTGAAGTCAATCGAATAGCCAAAATAGCTGCTTTAAATTTTGGCTAAACGGTTCTGTGCCCCTCCACTAAGGTGGCTCAAAGTGGTGAGCTGTGATTGGCTCGAGGGGACCAATGACTCAGCACGTGACAAGGCAGTTGACCAAATTTTAACCAACCACAATTTAAATTTTCAGGCTCAGTCACGTTGATTGGACGAGGAATCATTCACGATACAATATTAGGGCCTTGTTTTAAACGGCACACGCACACCAGCTATTGAACCTTACAAAATTGCAAGCGCTGATCGGTTGCATCTTTCCAAGACAGTGTATTAAAGTATCAAAGGTCTTCGTTAAGTATTTTTACAATTTGCAGTATGGACATTTCCGGCTAGCGCTTGATTCAGCCCAAGCTCTGATTGGATTAGATCAACCAATGCCTGCAGGCAGTGCTCTTAATTCTCTCGAAATTTGGAACGTTGGCAATTTCTTATTCTTATTCTGCCCCTTTTAAAATAGAGTCAAGTTGCGTCCCCCGTTGACTTTGATTTTTAGCTTCAAATAATCAGCAACAGGGATTAGAAAGATTTTAAAAAATTGGAGCTTAGTTTCTTTATTAAATCTGTGGTGGGATGATGCAACTGTATTCTTTTTAATCAATGTCAAAATTATAGAATATAACACGCAAAACTACTTTCAAGTCATCTAAATAACTATCACTGTAAAGCAACGAAATCCATGCAATTCGAAAGAATTACGTTACCCCTGCCTTATAAAAGGTTGACAATCAAAATTACCGCGTATTTGAATAAAAGTGATTTCCAATTGGTAGATTTCGCTCTTGGGTTGTGATTGGTCAGTTTGAATTGCCCCATTATGCGCGATTCACGGAGTTAGTGAATTTACTGACAGTACCGGTTACCAGACAGCACTTATTCATGCAATCACATGCACCCTATCCCAGTGATGATTCAACATATTTTCGTGGCATTTCGCCTAAATTCGGCGCGTGTTTTACTGGACGCGCAGCCATTCACGATCATAGTGACGTGAATTGCGCCAATGAGGTCACGTTTAGGAGCACAAAGAGTTTATTTGAGCGTTCGGGTGATTATTATGAATGAATTAGCATCGAGAAAGGGGTAATATATTTGAAAATTACCGTATTATTGATTCAACAGTTTGTAAGTCGTTTGTTACCACTCCCTATGAGTGTACTAACTGGAAATTGTAAGCTTAGGGCACACAGATTCTCCAGATGCCTTTAAACGACTTTTTGAGGTTCTGAAATGGTCAAGTATTTTTTACCGACCTGACGAACGCGCTAAATTAGCATCTAATATGCTTGACTCTTAACGATTTTTCTTAAATTCAGCTGATCTACAAAATTATTTCCGCTAATCTATTTCTAATTGCTTGCGATAAAAACTATTCTGAGGCGTACAAATCGAGAAGATTAGAGACGCAGAAGATCGATTCGATTTTGGCAGACACCAAGTCGAAATTCCGCACCAATGAAATCGCTAACGTTTGTTCTAAACATCCGGTAATTGGAAAGCTCTGCCAAATTATTCACATGAACTTTTTAGCAGGGTTGGAGACATGTGATTCACATGTGTTTACGTGTGTTTGATGGATACCGATGTGAACCAGGAATGGTTAATAGGAGCCGTAACATTACCGCAGACCAAGTAATCCACAATTTTTGTTTAAAATCGTGTAGTTTGTTCAAAGTATTATTAAATTTGAACCCAGAAGAGGTGACCAATCACGAGTTGGCATGTTTCACCATGAACTGCCCAATTACAAAACCGTAAATAAATCAATTTTCATTCGTCGAAAAGAAGAGGACAGTAAATCAGGATCTTAAGAGCCACGTTATCTCAATAAGGTCCGATTTCAGTAGTCTTAGCCCAAAACCGTTTTCTTCCGACCATAAGTGTTGATCTGGTGTTTATATTTTAAATTTTAGTTCAAACTTCTATCGAAACTTAAACAAATCGAATGCTATTCTTGAAGAGGCCACTATAAATCTGTTTGTCGATAAGATCTTTAATTAAATCTGACCCTTGAACGGTGAAAATTACGAGGTAAAATGGTTTTTTGACTCCGGTGGTTAAAACAGCTGTTCGTGCATTCGCATGATCATTTGCAATGACCTTGATTCAGTCGCAAAAATCTTTCATTGTTGCTTCTTCACTCTATTTTTAGACAAGCTTGTTTTTCACAAATAGGTGGCTCAAGGCTGCATAAATTTTGCCCAGAATACCTTGGTTGGCAACGAAGGGAGATAGGCGGATCGCTCGATAAGCCATTACCGCTCCTAAAGTGCAAATAGCGTAGAGAACGATTTAGCGTTTGATGGCATCACGTCCAACTCGGCGTTGATTTGACGACGGTTTTAGGTGGCAGAAATGGAAAAATGGGTGACGAGGAGTCGTTTTAAAATGGTCTTATCAAGAAGACAACAGCATTGCTACAAACCACCGATTCCAGGAGGCCTGAAACTCGATTACCTGTCTCATTCAGTGCTTTATATCGACAAGTTCGTGGGATCTCCCAGGGTCTGAAAGAGTTAAGTATGGTTGCGGTCATCAGTCGACTGAATTCTACAGAATGAGGATGTTGTGAGTCGTGTTTATTCACACCCTTCAATCCGGTCAATCCACCACCGACACAGGGTTCCCTTTTCGAAGCATGACGCCATCCGCGCGGATCCTCAACTTCCCCCTTATTCCCACTAATATTTATCTTGGGTTATCCCCACACATAAGTCTCGATGTTAGCGCATGCATAACTCACACATCCGAGGCATAAATACACACGCGCAAACCCCACACTCGACACCAGTTTTGGTTGAGCTCTGAAGTAAACGGTTGTGTCCACGTCCTCATCGCGAGTATTGGGGAAGCGTAATCTGGCCAGGGTTAATTCCATGGCCCAGGCGTGGTTCAAGATCACATTCTGGGGCCCACAACAAGCATCACAAGAAGGTAGCAGTTCTCAGCTATTAGTTTTACAAGTGTAGCACAATGCCCAATTGAGACTACATTGGAGTCGTAAACAAAGACGTCAACTCGAGTGTTACTTGTCCGCTTCATTGAATCTCCAAGTGAGTTGTATGAAACGGAAGGCACTTTTGTAATTTACTCTATGCTCTCTCTGCCTCTCTCTCTGTGAGCCGTGACTCATACACACTTGAGGTCAATATGAATGACCTGAATATCAGTGACTTGCTGACTCACCCCGCACGTGTGTAGTGGCTAGGGCGTTAGCACTACCTTACAACCCCCTAGTTAACAAGCCGTAACTACCCGAGAAGGGCAACGAGAGGAGACAGAGAACACGACCATTTATTACTGTCGAACCAGCCAAGTGGCTTTGTGGGCGTATGAGTACGCGTGGGTAACAGCCAAATGCTGACAGAGGCCAATAACAAAAGGGGTGAGTCATTGGTCCACTCGGGCCCTCATGCCCGCGCACTCACGCGGGGTGACTGTCAGTCCACTATACGTGTACCAAGACAAAATGTCTGTTTTGTACCTCTGGCTAGCCTCATTACGGAACGGCACAAAAATTATTTAAAATGTCTGACCCAATAGGGGGCGTTGGTTTGATGTGGCCATGGGTGTTACTTAGGGGATTTTTCGTAAATTCTACTGTTGTTGTATGCCTTTGCCAACTGTCAACCACCGCGATTGTTGTGACAGTCTCGGGCCTTTAAATTAACCGAATTTAGTATAAATTTTAATGTTATTGATGTCAAAAATCCAAGAAATAGACATTTGTGTGTTAGTTTCCAACCCAAATCTTTCTGCTGAGGTGATATTAACCGCTAGGTATATTTTTTACAGCAAAGCAAACTTGGCGCCCCTGATTTGAAATGACTTTCGCCTTTAAATGTCGCGGCATGCCTTCTGTGATCCACGCTGGCAGTTCTACTGGTTTGAATCGTCACAAATCAATAAGTTGAGCGGGTGCTGCGAGGTAAGCCGAAAGTATCGTGCACACAATCATGGCTTGGACTCCCACTTTGTGCTGGTGTTGTGGAAATACCCTGTGTATTTGCTATCCATCTCCTGATTTCACGGCTTGTTGCAGTGCCTCCTACATTCCACCGCGTCAGTGCTGTTGCCAGGCGCCTGTCTGCAAAGATGACTTGGAGATCCGCTGTTCCATAAACAGCAAACTTATGCCCCAGAAGCAGTGCCCGCTGACTCGCGATGTGGCACTGCCAAAAAAAAAACCTTGGCTTACCTCTGCAAGTTGACTGTGCCAACTAGCAAGGCTAAGTGCCTGAATGCGGAGGGAAATTGCGTGCGAGCGAAACCCAGTGTCGTTGACTATCCCTGCAAAGACGAGCTGAAGGTCTGCCACAAATCTGGACCCCAGATAGCCGAGACCCTGGTCTGCTCACCTGTCGATGAGTGCGACGTCATGGAGAACGTGGAAACGAAGGTTCTGCCTCCACAGGAGGTGCAAGAAAACGCCAAGACGAAACAGCCCAAAGCTGTTGTCGTAAAGTCGGATAAACCTACGTTAGTGAAGAAGTCGGCAGCCGTCCATAGGAAACGCCAAGAATGGGTTTCACAACCATTACCACCTTCACCATCATTACCTCCTCCTCCTCTTCATCCACAACCTCCTATTCCCCCTTCACAGAAGCCTAACTTCTTCCACTCCTCCGCTTTCCACTACAGCAACCTTCGACGCCAGGCGAATTTGGACTTTAGCGCCTGCCTACCGAGGTGCAACAATGGTCTGGTTGATTTAGGCGAGTCGTCAAGGCAACGCCTTGAACTCTACAGACGGTACAGCCAACGGTGTTTGTGCAAGACGGACAGGAATCCCTTCAACCAAGGACCTCGCTACTGTGGGCTGACAACCCAGTCGTGGAGCAGCGACTCCTCCTACAGGTGCCAACACTCGACTAATCCCTGCGTCAAAACCTGCACTCCAACTTACTGCCAACCGGCGCCTTTAATGCTTCAAAAGACCTGCAATCACAAGCCGCACCTGCGTGACAATTGCTGCACAATTGTGCACTGCTTTCCCAGGTCTGATTCGTGTCATCAGTTCTTTTGATTTCACTCCTTACATCCGAGGGAATTTGAGATTTGAGTTTGGTGTATTTAATTTTTGGTTTGCACTGCTTTTAAAAGATTATTTATTTTAATCCACAATCGTTTTGTGAGTTGGTGGTCAGGATGGAAGGGAGCAAACAGACTTGCTAATTTTTAACCCGTTGTTTTAATTTGCAGTCTCTCTAAGCGCCAATCGCAAATTGGTAACTGAACGATCAATACGCCCAAGAGGGCATAGTGGATAGTGCACACGCTCGTTGAACACTCCTAATTGTCTATTGTTGGTGTGTTTATTGCATCGCAGACATCAAAATTACAGGAACTAGTAATTCTGACATCGTTTCATCTTATCATCCACACGAGCACCTCCGAATAAAACTTGCTTGGGAAGGGATTCAAGCAAATCTGTTTAGTCGGTAGATGAAATATGCTTACGAACAAGCAGAAATTCAATGACTCATGAAACATTTGAGATTAGTCATTGTGACAGTGAGTATCAGCATGATTAGGTAGCAGAGTTTTGGGGCAGTCATAAATGAGGAAAAGTCAGCTTTAATGTCCTTATTTCTTGACTAAGTGAAGAGCTTTAAGCCTGTATTTTTTTTAAAATTGACGCTACCGCAGCTTGTTTAGAACACAAGCTACTTCTAACAGACATGGAAGCGGATTCAGCCCCGTTCAAAGTTGCATAACCCCAATTTAGCGTTCATTAGTTTAACGAAATCTGCGAATGATTTTTAGAAGAAGCAACTGTACGCTTCGTTTGCAAAAAGCAGGCTAAAAATTCATTGAAACTAGCTTCTTGAAACAGCCCACCTGCGCAGAACTGTGAAATTTAAATGCAAAAGCAGTAATAAATAGGCTTGGATTGAGTGATTTTGTCGCCATGCTAGACATGATTAGAGAACATAGGTATGAAAAATAATTCGGGTTAAAGTTCTAGCTGCATCAGAGTGGAATTGGGTCAAGGTTTAAGTAGTCCCATTCAAGGTCAGATCTGCCACTTCATAGTACTGATTGGTTGTTGCACACTGAGAAAACTTGGGCTAAAACTCACCAATCGTAAATCATCCTAAAGGAATGAGGACACGCCTAAACAATGATTGCTACCTTCGCTTCGACAAAAAGTCCAGCGGAGACCGGAAGAAGCAGGCAAGTGCTGCACTTTTAACAACTCGGTCTATATGAAACCCAATTTTTTTTTCAAATTTATTAGAAGCGTGGAAATCTTAACAGCTGCTGTTCGCATAAATTAAACCAGTCTTTCTTGTAGTGCCGTCATCACCCACGACATAGTTGGCCTTGGCGTAGTCCGTGGTACGCTAACAAGCAGGATAACCGTTCGCTTGGGGCTACACGCATTCATCAGTGGGAGGTTTAGCACGCGGCACAGCGTACATACACTTGTGTGAAGCAGCACCTTCGATTGTGCCTGCGCGTCAACCAATCAGATAATTCGGCGTGACTTATAAAACGCGATGTTAGCAGACGGCGCGTGGACATTCGTTTAACTAGGGTAAGTTATCTTTTGCTATATCCTAGACTGCTTACTTTGTAAATTACGCACACACACACACATTTGTGCTTAACACACTTTGTCTAGTGTCTATCTATGAACGTGTTATTCGTGACAATAGCGCCTTTGTGACCCAAGTTGCGTATAGATTATCGATTATCCATACAGAATGACCTTGAGTCTGGAAACATGACGCACACAAGCATCTAGATCTTAAGAACACTAGTTCGAAAAACAATGAATTTTGCATAATATTCAAAAAAATGATTATGTTATCGTGAAAAGTAGAAATTAATAGATGTGTAGAGAAAATAACACTGGCAGGAAAATCTTTTTTCCCAAATGTTACAACGAAATTTTGACATTGTGCCACCAAAATTTCCCATGAGAGTCCATGTGAAGACGAGCGTTTCAAACAGACAAATGTTTACGGCCAGATTACACTTGTGTGTCTTTTTTAGATAGACTAAGCCACAGGATAAACATGTGGTCAATCATCTACCAAACTTTGTTTAATAAATATCTACCGAGCCGACAACCGCAGCGTACACAGGAATTCGCTTTTCAAAACCAATATAATTTCGAAATTCACATAAACACCTGCCATTCTGGGTGGATCAACTCGGGACTGTGCTTAGACCGTGCTGATAAATCATAAGTTTTTTATCTGCTGGCCAAGCATCTTAGCGGGTCAAAGAATATTGTCGTACTTTAGTTACAGGAAGAAGTGAAATCGTTGTATGCCTAGTTATAGATTGATGGTAACACAATTAACTGATGTTATTGGTAGTATCGGGCAATAAAATTGACCAATACGAACGTAGCGGGGTTATACTTGTGTGGCAATCGGTTAACAAAGAAACCACGAAAGCTGCTTCCGGTCTTAGAACTAGGTCAATTTTGCTTTGTAGCCTAGAAAAAGGCATAATAAAAAGAAAAAAAATTCATGAAAATTCAACAAAACCCAATAATGCTGACCTTGAAAGAACGCTTCGCAGAGTTGGCGGTTGTGAAAATTAAGCGAATCGAAGTGAGAACAATTTGGATGCAAAGCAGATGTTTGTTTGCACTAAATGCAAATGAATAATGTTCTGCTGTGGAAATTGACCTTTGTGAGGCCTTACAGACGTTTTAGTGGCACGTACATTAAGCTTTTCCTTTATTTTTTTAGCCAGATTTTAACTATGCCAGTTGGATGCTTTCCTTCGTTTCGACGGAAATTGAAGAGTAAGTTTTTCCCCACTTGGTTGGAATATATTTCAAGCTAACTACTTAAAAAAGGCAAACTATCATCGAAAATGGTAGAATAGTTTTTGCTGGTACGCAAAAATAAAGCGATCCAGCGTAGTAATGGCAAATAGGGCTTTCTTTCTTAGCTTTCTTAACTGGTGTCCGAGTGTCGACCTCAGCCAACAAGCAAATGCATATTATAGATTTGTTTTAATCCAGTGCAAGAGTCGAAAAGATTTTAAATATAGATGGTAGGATTTTGAAATTGCTATTTCTCGTGTTGGCATAACAGAAATCAATTAACTAGAAAAAAACTTTATCTTATGAGGATTTAATTTTAAAAGTATTTTCATGAAATTTTGTTTGTAGAAATTAAGAAGGGAGCCCCTTTACTAAAGAAGGAAGACGCCAACAAAGACGGAGACGCAACAGAGACTAACAAAAATGCCGAAAACCAGCTAAACGACGGTTGTAAACTTGCGCCTCAATCGACAGGTGCGTCGGACAAGGAGGCGAAGGAACCAAAAGCGGACGTAGGTGAGACCAAGGAGGACATAAATTTCAAACAGTGCACGGGTCAGGAAGCAGAAAAGCAGTTATCGAAAAAGAATGAGAAAATTATGGAATCAAACGAAACGCAACCCCGGGTAAATGGCTACCAGGAAAATGACTCAATGAGACTTGTTCCACAGCCAAATAACCTACCGTGCAGTGGGCACGTCTCTGAGATGGAGGCAGAAAGAGGTGTGAAACATGAACGCGATGAATCACTTCTAAATCAAGGATGCGCACCAAATGATTCCGAAGGATCGCAAGTCGATTTGCATTCATCGCATGTACCGCTGGCTCCAGCTGCTTCCCCTAAAATAGACGTGATGAGGGGTGAAGAGGAACACCATGAACCTCCTCCGCCTCAGCAGGATGCTCCATGTGATGCTGGAACCGCAGAAGAGGAGCACATGGCCGGTGAGCACGAAGATCATCACGAGGACATTGTTCCAGCAGACGTTTCGTTGGGTGAATGTGCAGCTCCTGAAGTGCAGATGGTGAGCAGTGAAGAGGAACACCATGAACCTCCTCCTCCTCCACCTCAGCAAGATGCCCCGTGTGATGTTGGAACCGCAGAAGAGGAGCACATGGCCGGTGAGCACGAAGATCATCACGAGGACGTTGTTCCAGCAGACGTTTCGTTAAGTGAATGTGCAGCTCCTGAAGTGCAGATGGTAAGTTGTGAAGAGGAACACCATGAACCTCCTCCTCCTCCACCTCAGCCAGATGCCCCTTGCGATGTTGGTACCGCAGAAGAGGACCACATGGCCGGTGAGCACGAAGATCATCACGAGGACATTGTTCCAGCAGACGTTTCGTTGGGTGAATGTGCAGCTCCTGAAGTGCAGATGGTGAGCAGTGAAGAGGAACACCATGAACCTCCTCCTCCTCCACCTCAGCCAGATGCCCCTTGCGATGTTGGTACCGCAGAAGAGGACCACATGGCCGGTGAGCACGAAGATCATCACGAGGACATTGTTCCAT